AGAGACATTTGCAAAGCAAATCATCTTATTAAAAATGGCGATTTTTTTTTTATCCCTCCAACCACAACAAAACTCTTACCACTGAAGAGCAACAGGACTTGGCTGTGAATTGAGAAGTTCAAAAAGGGCCACTTGCAGAGCCGACAGACAGACACCCTCCCTCTTCTCAGCAAGATCACACCAAAGGAAAGGAATGGCTTCTCCATTAAAAGTTGCAGGTTTCCTCTCTTCCCACTCCTGTTCAAGATTACTCCATTTGTTGGCTTTACTGGATCTTTGGGGAATCATCTTCAGTGTTATATTTATTAGACAGAATAAAACTGTGTGGCAGAGAACTTCATCATCCTTCTTTTCAATTTTGTTATGGTATCTTCTTACCACTCTTGGAGCCCTTGCTCTATCACGTTATTTCTTCTAGTACTCAGAATATTTCTGTGTTCCTGTCTCCTCCTTTTGTGGGCAATTTCAGACATACTGCAATTCTAGACATCTTTCTGCTGCTGGTGGAAGAATAGGTTTGTTGCAGTGAGTCTGGATGAGTGCAACTGTGGGAACTGTAATGGGGGCAGGAGGGGGCCTGTGTTTGTGGTAAAAAGATGTAATAAGAATCCTCTTCCACAACTTCTTACTCCATAGCAGCCCCTGTGGGGTACCCAGAGGAGAACAGGGTGTGTTTTTCCGTCTGGGAACAAAAATGAATCCCAGGATCTGTCCATGCCCAGCAGGCTTGGGAAGGAGTCCCCGGCTGGTTAAATGTGTCTGAGCTGCATGGCTTTCTCCGTACAGGGGAAAAATCAGGCTCAGACAATGGCACAGGAAGAAAAAAAAATTCTATATATATGGCTACTTGGTCTAAACAACTTCTGAACAACTGGGAGGAAATGTAATGCAAAACACAGCTACTGGAGGACTGTCCCTTTAAATGGCCAATGCACACACCAGCTTCCAAGTCCGGAGCACACATTGCCATGACAGGAGTAACGAGGTTACCAATAAGACACCTAAAGATCCATTAGTCCCTTCTTATAATTCTCAATTATAAAGTTCCAAAGGGAAACTGCAGACAAAAGGTCTCCACAAGCAGGAGTGCCACCAGCAAGAGGAGAGATGGCATCTCCAGCCTCCTGCGGCAGGTCTGCACCCAGCCTCTGCTCCTCCCCCCGAGCCATGGAGCATCCCTCCCGAAACAGGCCTGGCAGAGCCTTCTTCCAAAGGCACACCTGGATAGAAATGACACTTCAGCAAACTATCCAAATCCTTCACGCTCAGTACAAGCTACTCTAGAAATAAAGACTAAGACACAAGTTAAAGCGCTCAACCCAGTGAAAACTGTGGTGTGCAATGAGAGCACAGAGATTGAGTCGACTGAGGCCAGTGCAAGACCCTGACTTCTTGAACCCTCCAGGACAGCCAGCCTTTGAGAGACACCTAATCCACATTGTGTGTGCCCACTGGACACTCCTCACTGACAGCTTCACCAGTGATGGTAAAACAGGGACTGTCTGGGTAGGGCACCAGTTGGCTTTTAAACCCAGGCACTGTCAAGCCCAGGTGTGCTCAATTTGGTGTCAGGAAGCCACGTCCCACCTCCTCCTGCTGCTCAGAAGGAGGGTGACCCTACTGGGTACAAACTGGTCATGGAAATAAGGCCCTGGGGACTTCCCATACAGAAAAAAAACGCAGCTGAAGAACCCTTTGTCTGTCTGTTTATGCCGACTGGATCTGTCCTCCAGCTGGTGTAACTCTGCCCAGCGTACTGCCGTTTGGTAGTCTTTGCCAGCACACACCAGCTGATGACTTAATGCTAGCATCAATAATCTTTAGCACAAGAAAGGCCCCGAGAAATAAACAGTGCTGTATAAAACCCCACACAACCAGTCCATCAACACTGGTAATATTTCACGCAGTGGATGGCAAGGAGAGGCTGGTTCCAAACTCACTGCAAGAGCGGGAGGGAAAAGAGCAGCCCAAGAGTGTGCAAAGCGCTTCTTGCTAAATTCATCCTGCAGCCGCCAACAGGTACTGAGCAGCACCTGCTTCAAGATCCGCGAAGGGTGCTGGATCAGAAATCAAACTGTAAAAATACGCTGCATCAGGGCTCGCATTTCTGTGCTGGTGCAATGTTGCTGACTGGTCCTCTTTGACCCTAAATATGATGCTGTCAGAACTGAGAATATTTCTTAATCAGCACTGAAGAGCGGCTGCCAGGAAAGCAGAAGTGCTTGTCTATCAGTCTTGCTTCTGCAGAAAGAGCGATTGTTTAAAGGGAGGGGCTGTTTGACCTTTCCATTCGTCAACTGTGTATCTCTTCACCAAGACCCTGTCATTCTTTGTAAGCATTTTGTTCAAAACAAATCTTATACTCTGATTTTTTTTTCTCCCTTAGTATGTTGCCATTCAGCAGCCTCAGCCTAACAAGTAAGGAAGCAACACGTAAGATCCATCCCAAAATAATAAGTAAGTGTGGGCACCCTACTTTTAAGGAACAACCAACTCTGCAGAAAAAGGCAACGTCTGAGTTGAACTGAGCACCCAGGTGTGGGGTGCTTAGTCTGCAGAAGCAACCCTACAATAACAATAAAGTGTGCTCCAGCTTGTGCTCATAAACAATCCTCCAGCAGTAAACAAGTGCACGCAGGCAGATATTGCAGAGGAATCTCACAATAACAAACCAGCCGGGGATGCTGGCTCCTCGGAAACAGCCCAGGCAAAAACTATGACAGTCATGCAGAGAAATAGGCGTTGAGGTATCTAAGGATGAGAAACATTTTAAATCATGAAGGACATGCGTAAAATGCTTGAAAGCATCCTTGAAATCGCTGGGGCAATTATGAGAAATAGGGATGGCTAACAAACAGGCAGCTTATGTATTCTGTATATTGCTGGGGACCGCTCTCAAACATATCTTTCATGGCATTCTTGATGAGAAGCCAAGACAAATGCCACTCTGATTAATCAGGAAACTACCCAACAACAACACGAAAAGTTTGCACAACACCAGCAAGCACACAACTGACTCTGAAAGATACCCGGGTGAGGAAAGGTGCTCCTTTCATCAATACAAAACCCCCCGAAGGCTCAATGCTTCTGCAGATAATGAAGCCAAAGATGTTTACACACCAGTGGTCACTACATACAGTGATTAGAGGAGATCTTAGGTTAATTTTCATCTCTACTAGCTAACAGACTGATGACCTGCTGCCCCACCTAACCTCTCCGGAGCGACAAGTCAGGTGTTCTCACAAGCTGAGGAGGCTGCCTTGTTCCTGGGGAAAACAAAGACTTTCTCAACATATATGATTAAGAAGGTCAATGAACCCCATGCACTCCAACTCGTGTAATAGGACCAGCTGAGCTACAGCAAAAATTCCTTTTGCTGGAAGTAAACAGCACACTGTTATCTCCCCAGGGGCCAGGCAATAACAGGAGGCATGTTCCCATTCACTCTGCCAGTGTGTGATACGCTAGCGCTCTGCCTATAAATACAACAGCTTTTTTTTTCCTTTTTTTTTTTTTTTTTTTTTTTTTTTTACAAGGCTGTGACAACTTCATCTCATCTGGGTACAACAAACACGCTGGAGTTGCGGCTACACAGCAGGGCTTTCTGCTATGTGTGCATGTGGTGGTGGTTTTTCCACCACAGGACCATATGTTACCTACTGCCTGGTGGGGCTGCGGTTCCACCCGTGCATCAGGAGAAAATCAGGGCAGCTCTGCATAGCGGCTGCACGGGGACAGAGTGCTTGGGGACAGGCATAAAGCAGCACCCGAACTGGAGACAGTGGGCTTTGGACTGTACTACAGCCCAGGGAGCTTGAGTGAGAAAGAAGTTACAAAGGCATTGGTAGGGGTCCAGGGGAAAGTTCCTTTTACAGTGCGAAATAATAAATGAGACCATGACAAAAAGGCAATCCTGGGCTCGGGTTCTGTCTTGGTACTATGCCAGCTGACCACACTTTGTACATTTAAAACTGACCTGGTCATTAATTTGTTACAGACTTGTGCAATGTGAACAAGGCCAAGTCTCTTGGATAAAGATGTTTTCTCTTGCAAGCCAACTGGAAAAACTTAGCGTTTACTATTCACGGAGAAGTCTGCTCGTCATATCTGTGACACGGCGTTCCTCTCGGCACTGCCCACTCAAGACACCTCCCAGATAATTAGACTGTAAGAACAACTTTGCTGCATCAAACCAAAAGTCCACCTAATCCACAGTTTTACCTCTAGCAAGGGACAATGGTGGATGCTGAAGGAGGGATATACGAAGCAGCTCTTCTATGTGATGATCCTTTCCCTGCTGTAAAAACCCAACAATAAGCAAAGAGGGCTTTCCGGAGTCAGTGGGTTGCATCTGGACTGTTGCATCTACATTGCGTACAGCTCTGTTTTCCAGGCATTTATCTAATGTCTTTTTTAACTCATTTGGATCTAATTCTCTCAGGGAGACAGAAGGTAAAGTTATGGTAGCTGGAGCTATTTATGTTACAAAGGAGACGTGTAAGAAGGGGGTTAATGCTAATGAATGGCTTTGGGAATGGACGGGACCTTTCTCAGAATAGAACAATAGGGCGCTTTTATGAAACCGGGAGACAGAAAACACAAAACTATTAAAAAAAAGAAAGAAGACTCTTTTGTATTATTTAGCATTAGCCTTCAGAACCCATCGCCATGAGACAGTACCCTGTGCTAGCTGCAGAGAGCCTGTCCAGTCTGTCAGGCGGTGATAGTTAGTGGAGGCGACTCCTACACAGCTCATTGAGTCAAGCAGGCTGCAACTCCAGCCAGCTTTTAGTTGGATGATTGGAACTGAATTTCAACTTATTGCTACTAACTAGGCTCAGAAAGAGGGAAATTGCTGTCAGAAACTTTCTTGGTGAAGCAGCGAGCTAACAGCTGGGCCAACATCACACATGAACACCGACTATCTAGCTACGCTCATGAACATTACTCCTCGCCGGATTTTGCTTTCCAGGAGAGGAAAGGGAATATGCTTTCCTTACCTGGGTTGCTGCTGGCTGACCGATGACCACCCATCCCGGACACTGCTGGTCACTGTGATGTGAGACAGAGACGTTGGAAGCCCACTGATCGAGGAAGCCTTTGGGAGTGTAAACACCACAGTCTTTGATGCTGGTCATTTGCTCAAATTCCTCACAGACTCCATCGCCATCGTGGAAATAGCACCTGCTGGGTTCATCTGCCAGCAGAAAGCAAAGAAAAGAAATCACAAAGGACTGGCTACACACATCTGCGATCTAGTTGCTAGGACCTGGTAACATCAGTAGTCATTATCTGCTGGACCAGGTCACTGGGAAGTGGAAGCATTGGTCGCTCCTAGACAATAGCAAGGTGGTTTTAAGAAAGCCAAGTAACAATAGTCAACTTTTGTATTGGGCAATTCCCCCAAGGTATTTCCTAATGTAAGGGGTTTTCTGTTCATTTTCATCTATCTCCATTTAGAAGGATGGAGACAGAAGAAAGCAGAGACAGAAAATACACAGCGAGACAATGTGGGCCTTGGCATAATTCCACCAACTTGGATGGAAAAACGCCAACAGAGGGTCTGGTCTACAATGTTTCCCTTTTTGTTTTTTAAAAGATATTTGCAAAACAACAACGACAACAGCAGCAGCAACTGAGAATTCAGGGGTGGTGAAAATTGCCAAGTTCACAGCCGGAGTGACCAAGGGCCAAAGAGATCTGTTTATCCACAGCGCAGATATAATATACATAGTGCGAGGGTAAGCTTGCCACATCCACACATGGCTTCAACCAACATGACTCAGATTTGACCTGAAAGGATCAAAAGCAGCAGGAGACTTTATTATTCTTGTCCATTTATTCTGTGGCTTCTCTAATGAGACTGCCAACAAAGATGCCAAATTTTTGAGGTTGTTTCTGTAACACTGGCCCATTAAAAACTGAACTGAGATCCATCTACTCTTTTCAAACAGGCTGCATAGCAATAATGACTTTCAGTCATTAGAGTACTCTGTGAAATGGAAACCTTTGACCTGTTGGTATCCTATTTTGTATTGTATTATCATTGCCAGTCCCCAGAGGTATCCAGTTCTGACAGCCTGTTGTATTTTTGTCTGGCAAATAAGTCTGCTGAAAAAACAGTAGGAAATTAGCCAGAGCTTCTAGCTGGACTGATGGAAGCGATCCCTAAGGAGAATCCTGTTCGGTAGCATTGGACTATCTCAAGCTAGGTGTCAGAAAATCCAACGGCTGCTCCATTTTGAGCTACTTCCAAACTACTAAATCCCCTGTTTATTTTTCCTCCTAGTTTACACAGTGAAATACCATCATGAGCCAGAAAAAAATTCAGTTTATTGCAATTCAATTATTTAATGACTTTCACTCCTTTTCCCCTCCCCTCCTCCCAATCTCCTGTGCAAAATTCCAGGTCCTTAGGAGAGTGTGAGTTTGAAAGAACAGAGAAATCTATCAGGGGAGGATGTCATTACAGTTTCATTTCATCACGACCTCTGTGGACAACTTGTGTACGTGGATAGCTGTGGGGAACTGTGTATTTGCTGGGCCAGTACTCTGAGCTGGCAGAAAGCAGCCAGTGTGAATCTGGAAGCCATTCAGCTGTATGAGTGCAGCCCCGTGTCTGAGCGAATATTCCCGGGGTGGCCAAACTTCTCAACCCTACGTGTCACATCTTAAAATCTTCATATGGCTGGGAGCCACCAAATATATACCACACACCTCGAAGAGCTGGGAGGAGGAGCTGGGGAGAGTGCTTCACGGACCAAAGATGACAATGGCTCCCTGGGGTGCCCCATTACTCCACGGTGGGAGGGGGCTGGGGTGGGTGTGCAGATGGGCCCTAAGGCAACCCGGCAGTGCTGGCCCCAGTGGCCCCTGCCTTTGCCTTCTCCCACGGCTAGATTGCCCAACAGCCCTGATGGCAGCAGGACCCTGCCACTCATCTGCTACAGACCCAGCTGGGAACGTGTGCTTGAACTGCTCATCTGTGCCCCCAGAGCCCCAGTCTGGACATCCCTATAAGACACCTTGTTCCTTAACAGGTTCATTAATGCTGGCACAGTTCATCCCTGGGAGAGACACGCTCTGTGTCTGGCCAGCTCAAGGAAGGGGCAGAGCGAGCACATAACTGTGATGGCCATGGAGACACACTCTTGGTTCCCTCACCTCATCCTTCTGCACCTCTCGTCTGCTCCTCTCTCTGCAGAGATGTACCAAAGCATAGGCCGTGTCTCTGCTATGCCCAAGAACAGTAGGATAAAGCTGAGTGGCTCACCCGCCTCTGAGCACTATGTCCCAGTTTGAGCGAGAGCCTCAGCAGAAATCTCTGAGAAATATTCAGACTGTGGTCAGCAATCAAAAATCCTCAAAAAACAAATCCCAAACATATGGCGATATATATTTTTGGGAAAAGAGTTTCTTTGTCATTCTATACACAGGGGCTTCCTTCTGTCAAAAGGGAAAAATAAAAGGAAATACCTATCGTATTAAAAAGACCCAACCTTCAGCCTACAAACAGATGCACAGTCAGATATACACTTACAGAGAAACACCAGCACCCAAGTACATCCTGCTACTACATCCACAGTGCAGAAACACTGACACACAAACACACGTACGCTCCCTTTACATATCCCCAATGCAGCCACCCCACTGATGCAAACACATACCCAGAAACTCACAGCCTAATTTTAGGTGTATGTGCTTAGACAGTGGTTCCCTGGCCTTCCTGAAGCTCTGACTTATTTTCACGACAGGCACTGAAGCAAGCACAACATTTACATAGCAACATACTCCTGCACTGGCTCCAAACGTTCCCTCCTAATGCGATGATAAATGTAATGGGCTTCTGATAAGATCATGTGTTTGGGATAAAAGAATACTCAAGACTTACTCCAATCTGATGACTTAATTCATACTCACATGGATGGGAAGGCAGCCTTTGAATAGCTGTGATCCAGGCCAGTGTGTGATCCTAACAGAGGCTAATTTGTTCCTGATTATGCTTAAGACCCCAATAAATCTGTCTGCTCGGAGCCTGCAAAACCCGAGGGAGGAACCGAATGGAGAGACTGAGATGTCTGAATTAAATGGAGACTGCCTAAATGATTAACAAAGTCTTACTGAACTGCACTGTCATGAGCCCGTGTGCTGTGCTAGTCCTGGAGAGTCGCGGCACCCTGCCCTCCATCCTGGCGCGGGTTCACTGCCTGGATGACACCACGCACAAAGGCTGAGAGATTATGCACTCAATTGCTTTTTTGTGCTTTGAAAAAAAATGGGGGAAAGTGGCTTTGCAACCCTAATTTTCTATTAAGGAGGACCTGTAAGTCCTACTACTGACACACCATCCTGAAGCATGCAATGCCATGTCTGGAGGGGAGTGTTGGGGAGAATCAGAGAACGGTTTGGGTTGGAAGGGACCTTAAAGATCATTGAGTTCCACCCCCCTGCCATGGACAGGGACACCTCCCACTAGCCCAGGTTGCCCAAAGCCTCATCCAGCCTGGCCTTGAACCCCTCCAGGGATGAGGCATCCACAGCTTCTCTGGGCAACCTGGGCCACTGCCTCACCCCCCGCACAAGAAAACATTTCTTCCTCACATCTCATCTCAATCTCCCCTCTTTCATCTTAAAACCGTTCCCCCTCATCCTGTCCCTCCACCCCCTGATGAAGACTCCTTCCCCATCTCTCCTGTAGCCCCCTTTCAGCACTGGAAGGTGCTGGAAGATCTCCCTGGAGCCTTCTCTTCTCCAGGCTGCCCACCCCCAACTCTCTCAGCCTGTCCTCGTACGGGAGGTGCTCCAGCCTGTGACCGTCTTCGTGGCCTCCTCTGGACCCACTCCAACGGCTCCATGTCCTTCTTATGTTGGTGGCCCCAGAGCTGGATGCAGCACTGCAGGGGGATGGGGGGGTCTCACCAGAACAGAGCAGAGAATCCCCTCCCTCAACCTGCTGGTCACACTGCTGGGGATGCCCCCAGGACACGGTTGGCGTTCCGGGATGCCAGCGCACATTGCTGGGTCATGTTAAGCTTCTCAAGAAGATGGGAGGACCTTTTCATGCCCACAAGCTTCCTACTTCTGAGTAACGGCAAAAAGGGGGACATTTTAAAATCCTTCTAGACAGTGGTGAGGGGACTGATCAACCCACAACAGCCAAATGTGATGCATCACTGAGCGGGCTGCCCAAAAGCAGAGGCTCTTCCTTCCTCAGGAACTGAGCACCAGCTCTGACTCCTGACTCTTACTGTGGCCTCGGATGCTTGGTAGGTTGGGCTTTACATTTCATGAGCAAAGTGAAGAATGACCAGATTGTTTCTTCCTATGAATGCTATCACAAAATAAAAACTAAAAGGCTTCTTCCCTTCCCGGAGTGGTGTGAACACAGTTCAGTTAAATCTGTACAGTCCTACAGGATCGAAGCCGGGGAGGGCAATGTCAGGAGTGGTATATTTCTAGGAAGCAGTAGCTAACATCTTTATTTCCATAATGGGGCAAAATGCCTTTTCCATTCTCTTCTCAACTACTGTGACATGAAATGCATCCAGGGCTTTGGTAATATGAGCTAATTTTTGTCTCCACAGAGGTCTACAGGCTCCAAGACCTGGTGAAGGTCATAGGGATGTGTTGGTCACACATGGCCTTCATCATGGACTATGTTCATCAGCACCATGGATATCTCACTTCTGAGCTGAATCTGATTTGAAGCAGATATGGAGGAAGGGAACATGAAGGAAATCTGATTTGTCCTCAAGGAAAAATGACATCAAAAATAAAAAAGCAGTTGTCTGGAAATCCAGCTTAAATCTAGAACAGTAGAAAGTCTGCAGGCACAGCACCTGCCAGGAGGAGACAGTGTCTCTGGGGGACTGACAACAGACGCTGAAGGATCCTGAGCTGAACTTGTGGAACACGTATTCTTTCAGGCAGCCCGAGCTCCTTGTCCATGACAAAGTTCTTTCTGAAGGCACAAAAACGTTGCGGCCAAACCAAAGTCCCTCTCTTGCCCTTGCTTTGGGAAAAGGCAGTGTCTAGCTCAGCAAAGATTTCCATGACATCTGGGAATCCCTGAATGCTCCGTGGCAGCTGTCAACCTGGAGAAGGGAGATTTGTTGGGGAAACAGATTGGCAAGACCTGGACCGCTTACTATTGCAGTTGGGATTCAAGATCCAGAACCATCTCGAGGCTCTTGAGTG